TAACTTAAATTAATTTTTTTTTTTTAATTAATTTAAGTTAAGATTTTTAAAAATCTTAACTTAATGTAAAGATTTTTAAATAATAATTTATTATAAACACGAATTGCCATACAGTAAACATTATTGGAAAATAATTTAATTCTTAGTTGGGGTACACATAATTTGTAGATATTTCGGATTTTTCTTATAACAACATTATTATGTACTTGAAATAAATCCTTATTTTTTAGCACATTTAATACAAAGATTCAGAAATGGAATTTATATAAAGCTGGGAGTGGTAATATTTTTAAATATTTGAAGAGTGGGACACAGGTTTCTAATGGTTGGGCTTTAGTTATTGATCGAATGATTTTTTCTGGGCTCCAAATGCTTTAATGATATCAATAGAACTACTCAATATTATAATGCTTACCGGAGCATTGATGCTACATCAATACAATCATTATCATTATTGAGAAATATTTTTTTTTTTACTTCTGTGAGGCAGAACTACTTTATGGTGATTCACAAAAAAATTGATTACTATTCTGCCAAAAGCTACCACCAGTACTAATTAGTTTAATAGATAATTAAAAATAACTACACAAAAGAGCTTACTGACCTCCATACACGGTTATTTATGTATCACAATAGTACGAGTAGACTATATTTATACCTTGATATCATTATTCGTAAGGTCCTCCGTGTTACTTAACCTCATTAAGCCAAATGGTCCTATTACGGCGTGGTTACAACTACGCTCGGTGAGCTGATTGCTGATTGTGGTAAGATGTTATTACTAGTTATGTGTGTAGCTGCTATTTTCTGATTTTCAGTTGAGTGTGGTTAACAAGGAAAATACAATCGGTAACTAAGTTCGTTACTGATAGTATTAAATTACTGTTGTTACTCTTCCATTGCAGTTATAATTAGAAATGAAACTAATATCCGGTAACTTGCCGGTATCTAGTTTATCCGGTTGGATACGAAAAGCAAATTTACGTGTTTTATTTAAGACACACAATTAAATTAAACATAGTATTTATAGTTACAACAAAAATATTAGTACTTTTACTACAGTACGGGCAAAAATATGATTAAGGTACCAGAAAAAAGTTGTATTTGTAGATATAAAAATCTCATTGTCTTCTGCTCAATCAAAACAAATCAAGACAATCCTTATTCTTATAAAATTTATAAATAGAAAAATTAAAATATTAGGTCTTTACCTATGAAATTGCCGTTTTGTATGCAATAAGTGAAAGTACTTATTTTTTCAAACTTATTTATTTCTGTTATTCGAAGTAATCACCCATGCAATCGACGCATATTTGCCAACGCATTGGCTGTTTATTGATGCAATTCTTGTAAAAATCAGCTGGACGGGAGGCAACAAACTCTTCAAAGGCATTTTGTACTGCCTCTCGGGAATTGAATTTTTTACCCACTAAAAAGTTGTCTAAATTTTGGAAAAAGTAATAGTCGGTAGGTGCAAGGTCTGGTGAGAATGGCGGATGAGGGAGAGCTTCCAACCCCAGCTCTTGCAGCTTGAAGACTGTCTGTTGCGCAGTATGGGGTCGCGCGTTGTCGTGAAGGAGCAATGGGGACGACCGATTGATCAAAGCTGGTTGCAGATGTGACCACCAGACCTTGCACCTACCAACTATTACTTTTTCCAAAATTTAGACAACTTTTTAGTGGGTAAAAAATTTAATTCCCGAGAGGCAGTACAAAATGCCTTTGAAGAGTTTGTTGCCTCCCGTCCAGCTGATTTTTACAAGAAGGGCATCAATAAACTGCCAATGCGTTGGCAAAGATGCGTCGATTGCATGGGTGATTACTTCGAATAACAGAAATAAAAAAGTTTAAAAAAATAAGTACTTTCACTTATTGCATACAAAACGGCAATTTCATAGGTAAAGACCTATTATTAGGTTTTTACCTATGAAATTGGAGAGTTGTATGAAAAGTTAAAAATATGAACATTTTGATTATATTTTATTTGAGCTAATCAAAGTACTGGCCCGAATCATGTATACAATTTTGCCGTATTGATGGCAGTATGTTTATTCCTTTACTACTAAGCTAAGTAGTTAAGGTTGTATAAGATCTGTAATAATTTGTACCAATTGTAAATGAATACATTACAAGATACAAGATACAAGATATTTTATTTGCATAAACATGTGTACATTAAAGATGTTAAGTAATATTGCCTGATCGACATGTTTGGCCGTTACCGGTGTACAAATATAAAATTAATTTAACAATAGCATTTTTCTACATGTAACATAAAATCGTTTAAAAACATTTTAAAAAATCAAAAAAAGAAGAAAAAACAATTACAAGGAAAGGACTCGAATATCATGGTTATAGGTATACATTATCAACTATTAACCATCTACATTAATTTATTTAATCTAAAACATTCAATATTCAACATAAATATATTTACTGCAATCAATAATCCATCAATCATACAAAAAATCATCAATGATACATTATATCATTATGGTTATAAAGTGTTGTCATTCAAGAAATCCTCTAGTCTATAATAACAATTTTCAGCTAATAATGTTTTAAATTTCGTCTTAAATTCATTCATGTCCAAGATCTTAATATATTTGGGAATTTTGTTAAATATCAACGGCGCCTTACATACGACACTTTTATGCATCAGGGCTGTTTTTGCTGGATGGACACAAAGTCTATCATTGTCGCGGCGATTACGGCTTACATGGTCCGATGTATTTAAAAATCGAAAATAAACTTTATTCTGTTTTGATTTTTTTTATATTTACAACTGTAACGATGTCAATCTCGACGTAAATTATTGTTTGTGTAACAGTTAGATTTTTTAAGAAAGGTGGATTTAGTGCCGTAGGCATTTTCTTACAGCCAATTTTTATTATTATTATTTTTGTATGCATATATTAATATTTTACAGTCAGGTGACTCTGCAGAAAAAGCTCACGTACTTTAGATTTGAAAGTATACCTACCAGGTTGTTGAAATCCTGATATCCAACTTCATACGATACAACTTCCTAACATCAACCGTAGAGCCGCGGCCCGCCACTCATGATTACCTTCGCCTGGTCGGAGGGTCCTCTCTTTGTGTTGGAGAGACATGCCACCCTTTTCTCCACATGAAAATACATACAAGGAACTATTCTAATGACTCCGTCAACAAGTCCCTATAGAGTTTGCATCTAATTAGATCACATTCATTATATATTACTGAAAACAAAGCTTGAAAACGATAATATCATTTTCATTTACTTTTTCATTTCATTTACTTTTAAATATTAACCTTAAAGCCAACGCTCTGCGAGCAATTACTCTCAAAAGCTTTCATTTAAAAATATGCAAGCATCATTTACATTCAAAGCTAAGATTCGAAACTTTAATGAAGTTTAGAAGTTTTTATCTGAGCAGTTTATAAATGAAAGGTAAAAGAGCTATAAGCTTTAATTTATAATCTCGGGTTCTAAACATCAGATAAACTAACGAAAAGTTTGTTCCGAAGTCAGGTCACTTTAGTATGTTGACCAGTAAGGTTCAATCCATGTTCTACTTTTGAGTTCCGAGTTCAAGGAGTTCTTAACTTTAATAATCTAACAGTTTATCTTCGGACTTTCTAAATCTATTAAATAGTTTCCACGGGGCCCACATTTTGAAATAAGAAAAAGAAGTACTAATCAAAGCATAAAATAGATATAGTGAAGCTGTAATCTCTGAAATTATACTTCTATAGGATTAGTCAAAATATATTATTTATTTCTTCAATTACACCTATTAGTAAGTACGAACTTGAGATGTTAGTGTTACTTACACTGTTTTAAACAAACAGAATATCTTCTTAACATAGTATAAAATGAAATCACTTCCCGTTCATGTACGCTTAGATCTTTCAAACTACGCAACGGGGTTTAATGCGGTTTTCATCAATAGAGAGAGTGATTCAAGAGGAAGTTTTATATGTATTCTACATGCATATTACACTTACATCTCATTAGTATCTACATCGCATCCGTGCGAAGTCGGGGCTGATCTATTATATGTAATTGGAGACGTTCACTATTCTATTTATTCGTCACTATAATATCTATTTAATTTACCTTTGACATTAATCCAAATGATAATTGTACCAATTCAAATATTAACTTAGAAATATAATTTTACGACACAACTTAATGTCAACTTCGTGTTTAAACATTTATAACACGGACAGAATTATTTATACTAAGACGATAATATCGAAATCGAAAGGCATTTGTGTGGCGCACATCGGTCGTCGGTAACTTTTGTCTTATGTCTAGCAGGGAGCAATAAAATCATTATTATGATTGTAATAGTGATTTAGTACACCGAGCCCAGCTGTAATTATGAACGGGGTTTAAGGTCTAAAAGTTAAAGAATCGGGCTATAAGGACATACACGCGGACACCATAGAGTTGCAAACGTTTTAATGATTTGAACATTTAAACAGTGCCAAGCGTCTACGTTCTGATGGTTTTCACTCATTTCAGTAAAATTATTGAAGAAAAATTGAAATACTTTACGAGTATAAATAGTAAGACCTGAACCTGACCTTGCCTCATAGCCAAGAAGTTTTACTTCAGTCATGTGTTCTAAGGTACACTTGTTTTTTAAGTCTAACTGACTTACAAAAAAGAAAACATGGGATACTCCCTGCCCACCCTGACCTGACCTTTTTTTTTTTTTTTTTTTTTTTTTTTTTTTTCACGCGCGGAATGCTTTTCGCACCATACCCTCCGTTGGGGAAACGCAGGGCGTGTGTGGGACTCCCGGAGAACCGGTCTACCCACTAAACCCCGCGGCGGCCTTCCTCGGCAGTCGGGAGGAGCTCCAGGAACGCATCGGCGACTTCTGGAGTCCTCCCTGCCGTACCTCATGTCTGAGGCACATCCCGGAGTGACCGTAGTCACCCTGGGGCAGGACGCTATCGCGCCTCTCACTGCTCATTTATGATTATAAGCCATTTGTTCTTCTCAGGTGTAACGGCCGGCGGCGGAGGCTGGGAACCCCTGGGTACTCCGTACTTCGATAACAGCACGAAGCGCGAAGCCACCGCCGCCGTGGGGCAACCTGCTTATCTACACTGCAAAGTTAGAAACCTTGCGGACCGAGCGGTAAGATATACATATATATATATATATATATATTATTTTATTTTAATATGTAGAGCTGTTATGGAACTGTTTGATTTCAAACAAACACACGTAGCGTGTGTTTGTCTACTGGTAAAGACAAATAAACATTTCGCAAGAAACAGAATACACATGTAAGAAATTAGGCGTGTAGAAAAATCCAAGACTAAATATGGAGACAGAGAAAATTGCATTTACAAGGAAGGAAATTTATGAAATAAAATACTCAGTGAACACCGAGTGAAGCCCCTGATCTATGGATTATAGAAAACCTCGAGCTCGCTTCTCGGTTGGTAGAAAATATGACTAACGTTTTCAAAGGGAGGTGTTAGAAAACTAAAGTCTTTGTTGCTGCATAATATCATCAATTGTAGACCTGGACTGTTTGTTTTATGTGTATAAGGGGTACGCAAACAAGGGGGGCAAACGAGCAGTAACGTGTCAAATGATGGTAAGCAACTACCGCCGCCCATGGACACCTGCAACTCAAAAGTCACAGGTGCGTTGCTGCCCTTGGAGTCCCTTCCGCTCGAGTCAGCGGGCGAAGGGATTTGGACGGCGATACAATCCGGTAGACAGACATATTTCTCTTCTTTCAACCATATTTTGGATACGTTTCTACTGTCATCGTTGTGGTTTCCTTTATAATAGACTTAACAAAATTCTACAAATATGTATATAGTTTTAATAAAAAGGCATGTAAAAAGAATTTAACAGACTAGCTTCAGTCCCAGAATTATGAGGATAGTATGAAATTACTTCATTTTCATATATTTGTTATATATAATATTTATACGCGTACGCATAAATAAACACACAAGCACACGCGCAAATACACACGCGCACGCACATAACGTAGCAATATAGCATGGGATGGAGACCACCAGGTCTCCATGCCATGCTTGTATTTCAGGACACCAGTCCTGAAATACAAGCCCAGAGCATAGTTTAGGCACCAGTCTCCCACATTATTGTGTAAAATGTTCTGCCTGATTTAGACTACAAGAACTTGTATGTATGCCAACATGTATTGTGGTGAGAAATAACGAAGATATTATTATTATTATTACTGAACGATATTTAAAGCAAATCTAAGTAGTGTTACAATTTTCCAAAACTAAGTTATTAAATAAAGTGCCATAAATTAGCTGATCAAACTGTCATCAAAAGTTGATGATCAAAGACGTTTCAAAATAATTAGCTTATTAAAATATCCCCAAAAGTTGATGACTAAAGACGTTTCAAAATAACTGATCTTGACAATCATAAGTTCATGAATATTTTGTTCTTAACATTTTTTGAGTAACTGAAACTAAATTCCACAAGAAAATGATGGAGTTTAAGTATGCATACAAAATGGGGACACTTTTTTCTACTTGTGGAAAGTCTCCTGGATACCACACAGCCCTCCAGCCGAATAAAACAACACAAACTCACTGGTCTCGACAACAATACAAAAATAATAAAAAAGCATAATTCCTAAAATATATCGCCAAAAAAAAAACACCTGCCACCTCGTTCTGTGCGCTAATGATGCTCGCGAAAGAGAGGGCGAAAAAAGATCGTCCCAGGTTTAAAACCCTCTTGGGCCGTTAAACTAGGCAGGAGTCCAGTCAGTAGTCACTAAATCACATTAAAGTTACTTAATTTGACTTATTACAACATTACATTGCAACAAATAGAATGCTTTGTGGATCATATTTTTTGTTGTAATTTATCATTACATTACGCATTATTAAAGATATCGCCCCTATGTTTCCAGCTGTATTCTACATATTGTTCTCATGTGTAAGGAAAGTTGTAATGTTGTACACTGATGAAAATGAATTAATTTGCGGTTTCTCTCTTCTTTTCGGTGTTAATTTTTAGTAGTAGTTCTCAAAATACGCTGCTTTTTTTTTATAATTAAGTTAAATACTAAAATTTAAAAAGATATAGCTTCATTCAAAATGGAGTTCTGTTTGAATCTCAAATACGGGTTTCCAATTTTAACTAGGTTATTCGGAGGTTTCACTAGCTTCCAGTTTGGAATTTTGTTTACCTACGTATACATAATTCCAGCAAATCTAATACTGGAGTCGTCCTAAGTCAACTTGCAATCTGTTTAGGCCACAGAATAAATACAGTTCTTATATACGTACAGAAGAACCATTCCAGAATGACGACAATATACTGACTAAAACTATTACTTATAAAGTGCTCTTTGACTCACAATTAAAACCTTACATTATTATTATTTACAAGTCTTACTTGATAATATGCCTTAATACTTTAATAAGTTTTTGTTTTGCTTTCACTTACCGATCTCTTTCCCATGTTTATAAGGTATCACAACGTGAATCACAGTCAATAAAAGACAGAAAATTCTTCACCAAATGAGAGAGGTTACCGCGGTCCCAACACCCCTCTAAACTCTAGAGTGGGTGGGCAGTCTAGTGATAGATATTATTGTAAGTTTTAAATCATAATCTTTTGATGACATGATTGGTCATCAAATACTACTTACTAGTCTTTGATATGAAGATAAAAAGTTTGTTTCTGCTGCAATTCAAGAGACATACTTATGTCTATTGTATTGCAGATGTCAATGGGCGACGGTAATAACTTACCATCAGATGAGTCGTTTCTGCCATTACCCCCATGCCATTACAAAATCAAATCTACCATTTAAAATAAAAAAGAACACATTGAAGCAATGTTTTCTTTAAACAGATCGAAAGACATTAACACTAAAAGGAAAAGAATTACCAGCAAGTGCTTACCATAATCGTTAGTCCCTGGAGACGAAAAAGTCGGTATCTCTCTTATATACTTTATCTACTGTACAAAGCGTTTACATAGTCTGCTTGTATGCATTTATTTAGATTTCCACTCACATTCATCTTACCGATACGGTTGCAGCTGCGTTGCATTTTCTTAAATTTTGTGCATTAAAGCTCTACCTCATCGCTTTAAATTACGAGTGATTTAGTAATTTAGTTTTTTTCTCGTTTGATAGTAAGTGCATTTTCAATCGGGATAGATTGTTACAAAAAAAAGAGACTACACTACTCATAATCATCCTTATCCGCTATATAATATTAAGGAATATATTAATGGCATTATGAACAAGATTGTTATTTACATAAATCTGACGTACTGACTTCATAACTTATAACCCTACTTGAATGGGAAGCCAAGTTGGCAATATGCTTCTTAAAACGTGCCAAGTTTTTTAATAAGTCATTTATTTAAGTCGTAACAAAAGTGAGCAAACTTGCAACAGTTTTTTACATCTCTACAGTTTCTCATTTCATAAATAATAAAGATAAATAATGTATTGAAAATATATGCCGTATCGTGTACAAAGTATTTAGGTAAATATTTAGGTCAGCCTAATTATGCAGACTCAGAAAACATCTTAGTAATTTTAAAGTGATATAATTTTAACTATAATTAAGTTATTTAACAGTAAGTTATAGTATATATTGACGGGTCTAGTGGTTAGTGACCCTGACTGATAAGCCGGAGGTCGTGGGTTCGATTCCTGCCAAGGAGAAATAATTAGGTATGTGATGAGAACGATGATTTGTTGTGTGTCTGGGTGTAATTTATCTATGATATGTATGTTTTTAGAAATATATAAGTAGATTTATCAGCAGTCTGGTTACCATAGCACAGGTTCTATGTAGTTTTAAACAAGACGATGGTGTGTGACACGTTTGAAGCTAATATATTTGTGTGTACAAGTCCAGTCTTAACTAGTCCAGTCCTTACCAGTCTTAAGTAATTTACATTATTAATCTATTAAAGCTTTAAAATATAAACGTCCTGTACCTAACATCATAGTCAAGAAACTAGCTCAGGCCGATTGCAACAGAATTTGTAATATTTTGATTTTATTTTGGAAGTAACAACTTCTTATAGGAGGGTAAATCGCTTCGTTAAATATTTAATAGTTCGACTTAGATTAGTTAAAGTAATCACTTCTGTAGGGCGTCCCGAGAGAAGTGATGCACATGTTTTTTTTATTCTCTCTTACACAAATTAGACTAGTTTGTTTAGACAAATTTGATAACCATTATGCCATTTAAGTACTGATTATAAAAATACTACAAGCACGTAGTCAAGGTTTGGCGTGGGTATCCTACCCACGCCAAACCTTGACTACGTACTTAATTATATGTCGATCATTGGTATAAATGATCGACACTTGATTTACGAGTATTCTCATTGTCAAAGTAAAATGCGTCGGCATTCGATGGGCGTGCTGTAGTCAGAATAGTAAATAGTTGGTGTTTTAAAACTCCAACCTATAAAATTTGGCTTAAATTTTTACTTTTTAAACACCATACTTTATTTTAAACACCACTATATTTTTACTTTTTAAACACCATACACGTTTTTTTATGCTTTAATCCACTTTTAGGTTTTTAGTGGTTGGTAGTTAACTTTTAATGTTGCAGAAGTTGATCTGGAAATTAAATAGACTCTTGATGTTATTGTTTAAATTTAAAATTAACACCGGTCTGCCATCTTTGTAAACAATACAACAATATTGAGTTGAAAACCCATTTTTATAGAATGTGGGACGAAAAGTTCTGTGTACATATACACACAAATCAATATTGTTCATTTATAAACAATTTTGGTTTGTATTATAACTTTTAATTTCATAAATTAACATTGTTGGTACAGTCTTTTATTTTTCAGTCAAGAAATGTAATAAATGGTATAAAAAATGTACTTTAAATCCGTATGAAAAGAAGTCGATACTTAAGAAAAGCTTCAAGAACCGCTTCTAGTAGTTTAAATATGATAATAAGAAAATGTATGACTCTTATTATTCACCAGTATAGTGATATCACTTGACAAATTTCCATAACTTTGTTTTCCTTAAGCTTTAACTAATAACGTTCCTTTTTCCTGATTCACCCGTTTTAATCAAAATCCGACGTAAAACAATCAAAACGTTTGCAATAACAGCAATCATTGTCATGACA